ATTTTATTGATTCCCTGGGTTGAATGTATATGTGAGCAAGCCAGTTAGTTCTACTTAAGCTACAGGTGAAGCTGTTGCCCCTTGTATTAACAAATTGAGCTGTTGTTAAGGAATCTGTAACACATACTAAATATCGATAATCTTGAACTTCCTTTAGGTGATGGCGTTTTTCATGCACAGTTGTGCCTACTTCGACAATAGCATGGGTGCGTGTGTGCATGAGTGCATGCACCCATAATCATCATAATGACCCAAGCAAAAACTTCTAAGATTACCTCAATCTATGGCTCCAAGTAACATTTTGATTTAGCTTGCCTCCTTCATCTAGCATACTGTTCAAGTTAACACATCCAGTCTGCATACCCATAGCACGAACCAAAACATATTATGTATCTGGTATTACTTCTCATACTTTGTCATTAGCAAAAGTATTTTGTTTTGTTTTTATTCACAGAGTACAGGCATGCACCAGAGGATTCTCTTGTTTATGAATATATCTTTATAAATTTACTTTATATACATATACATATATTCTTATAGTGCATTATTATGATCTATCTGGTCTTCAATATAACTAGTTAAAGTGGCAGAATTAGTTTCTGTGAAGAAACGCTCTTTATCAAATTTCTTCTAAGTACTTCAAGATAACTTCAAGTGCAATGACTAGTTTAAAATTGCATATTCCGTTCCCCAAGCGGCTTTTGTGGCTCCTCTGTAATATAGCAATTGATAGTCACCGCATGGCGTGCGTGGTTGATAATGTGTTTTATTTTAACTTGGTTTTGTTGAGGATGAGAAACCAGCAATATCAAGATGGTTTGAAGTACTTTGGGTATTGTTGTGTTTTAATTACCTTATTGTTATTGCACTGAATTAAATCCACCGTCTGATTTTGAACATATTTGTTGCTTTTATTTGATGTTATATGCCATTCTTTCACAGAGCATGGAGCATTGGTTGAAGAGGAGGGAGGAGGGGAGGGGGAGGGGGGCGGGGATGGGAAGGAGATACTGCAGAGCAAGAAGGACCAGGCGAGGCTCGACGGGATGTATAAAGTTTGGATCTTTTGTTGGTGCTCAACTTCACTCGGTTTTGTGTATCTATTTGTCAGATTTTCTACTGTGATGGCGAGACAATTGTTGGCAACTTCTATCTTGTCTACTTTGCATCCATTTTGCTAGATGTGCAGACCCGTTCAGGGGAAAGTAAGAAATTCAAAAAAAAAAAAAAAAAAAAAAAAAAAAAAAAAAAAAAAAAAACTGTAGCACAACATCCTAGACGGAAATTCCGTCTAGGATGCTCAAATTCCGTCTAGAATGCTCTTTTTAAAAAAAATTTAAAAAAAAATTTAAAAACCACAAATTCCGTCTAGAATGAATATTCTAGACGGAAATTTCCGTCTAGAATACTCATTTTAGACGGAATTTTTTTCCGTCTAGGATGAGTTATTCTAGACGGAAATTCCGTCTAGAATAATCCGTCTAGGATGTATTCTAGACGGTTTTAAATTCCGAGGATGTAGTATTTTAGACGGAAATTCCGTCTAGAATAATCCGTCTAGGATGTATTCTAGACGGTTTTGAATTCCGTCTAGAATATTCCGTCTAGGATGTATTCTAGATGGAATTTCCGTCTAGAATACTACATCCTAGACGGAAACAAACTAGACGCCTATTCTAGACGGAATTTCGTCTAGAATAAGCATTCTAGACGGAATTCTGGGTATCCTAGACGGAATTTTCCGTCTAGGATACCTCATTATTTAGCAGTGTATGGTGATAATCTGTTAGCTAGCCAAAACTTTCGTGATGATTTTGAAAATACAGTTGATAAGACTGATAGGCCGAAAATCTTTAACTGTGGAACTGTCTTTACATTTAGGGATTAGAGTGATAAGAACTTTGTTCACCCTATGAAGAGAAGAAGGATTCTGGGTAAAAAAATTCATGAGAGCAACAAGATCACTCTTAATTAAATCCCAGAAAATTTGGTAGAATAACATAGAGAAACCATCTGGACAAGGGGCCTTGTTTGGATTCATATTGAAGATCGCATGTTTGATTTTAGATTCTGAGAAATCCTCCTCAAGAGCAATAAGGTTATGGTTTTGAGAAGGATACAAGAAGTCCCAATTTACTGTCATATTGCTCATGGTATCTTGTCCAAAAAGATTGAGGTAAAAGTCATAAAAAGCTTTTGAGATTTCACCATTATCAGTGATATCAGTACCCAAATGGTTAATAGAAACAATATGATTAGATCTTTTATGAAAATAGGCTGTTTTATGGAAGAAGGATTGTTCGCGTGGAAAACTGTAGCTTTCTTCATTAATGAGATAATTGTCATCTTGAGTTACAACTTTTCGAGTTACAAAAGATCCGGTCTTTTATAGATCCGGTTATAACTAAATCAAAGAAAAAAGTAAAAAAATTACAACTCTCCTCTGTGAACAAATCACGAGCTCCTGTTTTGCGGTTGCTCGCTTTGGTGGGTTCTTTGCCTGCGCCGGGGTTGTTTGCCGTGGACCACCGCGCGATCTAGATCCGGTCAGATCTACACGATTATGCGGGTATTATTCCACGAAGGGAATAATAGCCGGGAGGGATTAATCCACCAAGGGAATAATCGCTCAGATCTCGAGATCTAAGACCAAGCTTAGATCTGGAGTGTAGTCTCGTGTAGATCTCAGATCTGTTCTTTCTTCCTCTCGAGATCCTGTCTTTTCTGACGTGGATGGTCGCCGAGGATCAGATCCGAATGTGCAAGTCTTCTGGTCTTCAAAGCTCCGAGTTCACTCTTCAATCCGGCAGAGTTTCGGCTCTTGAAAGTTCGACCTCTGAAAATGAACATCTCTAGGCCTATTTATAGGCTCTCAGGACAGTGGCTGCAAAAAGGGAATTCCTGATGCGTGATGGGCGGGAGTTTGATTTTGTTGTTTCCGAGAAGGGTCTCGAAGATAGCTTGGGCCGAGCCACCTGAAGTTGGCTCGGCTTCGGCCGAGCCCCTCTAGGTGGTGGTTTTTCGGTGTTTTCCGCCTTTGGTTCTGTCCGTGATTCGGTTGATCCAGACTCTGATTTGATTCCTGATTTGGCAGTAAATCCACTTCTGAGTTCGAGTCCGAGATTGATCTTGATTCGATCGTGATTCGTCCGAGTCCGCTCTCGGTTGGATGACTCGTTGATTCCTCAACTCATTAGCTTGATTCTGCACGCGGGTGGATGCATTCCGTCGCTTCTGTGCGATTCGTCGATCTCGTCGCCTCGTTGGTTCGTCGGTTTGTGCCGAGCTATGCTAGGGGACCTATAAGCAATTTTATATGCCTACAGATACCCCCTCCAAAGTATTTCAGTCTCGTTCTTTTATAGAAGAGTCTGGGATACTTTGGATATGATTGTCCCTACCTTCAGTCGGTATAACGGGACCTCGGAATGGCTTCTGTTCTTGACTCCTTCAATTCTCCAGGCTTTTCGGTGCTTTGTCGAAAGTCTGTAAGAGTTCCGGTGCTGCATTTATTGTCTGACCGTTTGTCGGAATTTTCTGAACTTGAAGTCGATTCCTTTGAGCTGACCATTGATTGTGGCGTCGAGTCTTTATGCACAACGCGTTGTCCGGCGTAGTGTGGTTGAGTTATCCTTAAGAATATTTATAAACAATATTCTCCAGGAACTTCTCAACCCAAAAATAGGGAATAGTTTTATACTCGTATACTTTTCGGAGTATTAAGAAGCAGTTTATACTCGTATACTTTTCGGAGTATTTTCTGCGCCCAAATGCGCTGAACCGGCTTAAAATGAGCCAAAAAAGGCAGTAAATCGGTTCAAAAAATCCTCCGACCCTTCCAAATATATGGTAGAGGGGTTAAATAGGTGAAGGGATGAACCGTAGGTTGACCAAAAGTCGTTCCAACGTTTAATTCAGCTCCAATTTGAATTCTGGTTCGAATTTGGTTCAAACTGGTTCAATTTGACTCAAACTG